AGCAAATCTTGTAAAAATTAGATTACTGCTATCAAAGCTTATTTTTATTTTAGATCTTTCTTAGAGAAAATTCTTTGTAGCAAAACTAAATAAAAGAGCTAATTTGAAAACAAAAAGAAGATTGACAAAGTAGAAATATTATAAATAAAGCTTAATAAATCTACAAAATTTTTATTTTATAATTAAAAAATCTAATATACTAGATTAGCTATTTAGCTATAACTTAATAGTTAAGCTAATTAATAAAGATTTTGAATTCTTGTTTAATAGTTTGAAGTTTTAAAATTTGTAAAACAAATTTTCTTAAAAGAACTAAAATATTATAAAATAGATTTTTAGTATTAGTTTTTTAAATATATAAATATTAGTATAATTAATATATTTTATTATTTAGTATAATTATTATTTTATTTTATTTTATTTTATTTATTAGTCTTATTAGTATTAGTATTATTGAACAAAAAAGAAAACTTGTAAAAGTATATTTAATACTTGATACTCAATATTTAATACTTCTTAGTGACAATTATCTATAAGCATTAATGCTTTACTTTACAAATATATAAACTTTCACTTTTTTTTTAAATTAAAGCAAATTTTGATTAAACAAAAATATTGCTGAATACAAGTATCTTCTTCTTATAACTTAAACAAGTTATTATCTAGTTAGTATCTCTGTAAAAGAATTTCTTAAACACAGAAACCTAACAGATAGCCTTATTTTATATTAGTAATAAAGTTATATTTTATCTATAAATCTTTATTTCTATAATGAACTAACTCAAAAAAGAGTTTAGTTTCTGTACAGATATAAAAAATTATACTTATCTCTTAAATACTGTTATAAACTTGTAAAGAATCTAAATAGTTATATTGTTGTTATAGTAGTAAGTTTATGAAAGTTTCTTTACTATAATATAATAAATTTTTAAATTTAAATTTAAATTAAATCAAACTTAATTAAAATTAAGTTTAGATTTGGTTTGAAAATTAAATTAGATTTAAATCTGGTTTAAAGTTTAATTTAAGCCAATTTAATAAAATTCTAATATAAATTTTTTTTTTTTTTTTTTTAATATTTAAGGTGACCACTTAGACTCTTGGCACTTTATTAGTACTAGCTATAGATAAGGATGAAATTATTTTAGGCTTTAAAACCCGAAATTAAAATTTGAAGATGAAATTGGTTTGACTTATTTTTACTTAAAAGATAAAATTTTTTGATACTTTTTTTGAATTAACAAAATTATAAAGAATATAATTATATAAATTAGATTTGCTTTTTTTTATAAAAAATTTTAATTTGCTCTAATGAAGATGAAATAGGCTTTTTTTGAAAACCTATTTTTGTAGTATCTATAGTATTAGCAGATATTGCTAATCCAAAGACTATATATAACATGTTATAGTAGTATTACAAAAATACAACTAGCCACATATACAACTTTTGGTTGTCTAATTTAAATAGTTTGCTCTAAGGTTCTATACTAGTTACTATACTTATAGCCTAACTAGAAAGCTATCTATTTAAACTCTCTAGCTTCAATCTCTGTACCATGTTTCTTCTAATATATTTTTTTAGAATAATTTGCTATAAAAGACTCTAAAACTTTAACTACCAATTAATCTAGTTTGTCAGAGAAATATTTATCTTTGTAGCAAACTTAACAAAATAGTTTATGTTCTATATATGTATTTATCTGCATGTTCAGTAACTTTTTCTAATTAATATCTGTTATGCTGTTACTATTAAGTTTATATTTCAAGCTATCTTTTCAGATACTACTATAATTCAATTTGTATCTCAAGCCATAACTTTTCTAATTAGTTCTCATTATATACTCTTTGCCCTTGCAAGGTTCATAATAATCCAATATCTACATTTTAACTTTCTTCTTTTTTTAGATTTTTTATTGGTCTCTCCCTTACTTCTAGACAGCAATCCAGAAGGGTTAATCTGTCCAGGCTTTAGGTACTTTATAGTTTTTTTCCTTTTAGTATATGCTTTCAGAGTACAAATCCTTTTTTTTTAGTAGCAAGCTGGCAGTTTAGCTAATATGTTTCTCTACTTAAAGACCTGATCACTTAGTTCTCTAATCTCAGTCTCTAGTTTCAAATTTGGTTTTTCTGTAGCACTATCAAAGATTACTGCTACTTACCAACTCAAAACTTTTTAAACAGTTTTTGATCATTGCAGTTTCTTGGCTTTTTATATACTAAAGCTTCTATATAAATATGATATTATCAAGATTATAAATTTTAAGACCCAACTGATTAACTACAATCATTACTATAGCACAAGCTATTTTTCAAAAACATTGTCCATAGAATTCAAACTCTAAACCTGCTATTTAAAGATACAACAACTCCATCACTTTACTAAGTTACTACACCCTTTAATATAAAATTTAAATTATATAACTAATATAATATTTATATATAATTATACATGTTGGCAAAATCTCAAATTATTTTCAAACTCTGGCCAAACTTGTATAGTATTTTAAAAATCCTATTAATCATCTTTATTTAAACAATTTATATATATACAGTATAGCCTGTCAAAACTAATACTATTAAAACTAATAACCTGTTAAAAATAATAAAAAATTGATCTACTATCTTTTAATTGAATATAGTAATTTTGCCCTTCAAACCTGATAACCTGTCAAAACTAATACAAATTTGGTTCACCATGCATATCAGCTTCAACAGGATATACTGTATTTATAGCTATATATAATATATATTTACCAAATTTTAAGATTACTTTTTTTGATTCAATTTTTAATAAACAGTAATTGTATTTTGGGGTTTGAGATTTGTTTGGATTTTGCCAACAAGTATATATAATACTGTATAAAATTGTTAAATTAGAAAAAATAAATTTTAGAACCCAGGTATTGCCTGGGTTCTAAAATTTAAATAAACTAATATAATATAAAGAATTAAAAAAAAAAAAAACCTCAAACCTGGGGCAATAACTGGGTCATAATTTAAATATTTAAACCTAAGAATTAGAAAAAAATTAGAAACTCTAACACGAGCAATGCCAGGTCCTAAGAGCTAGTTGACTTTATTCATATTTCTGTTATATCTTCAATTTACAAAAAAAAAAAAAAAATAGAAAACATTTGGAGTACAGAAGCATATGGTAGAAGTTTTCAATCACAAACAAATTTTGAACATACTGTATAAACTGAAACAAGAATAATCATTGCAACTGATTAATGCGCCTCCACATTCAAGAATTGCTAAACACTATATTGCTCTTGCTATAATGGATTTTAATAGCTTTAATTTTTACACGTAATTTTTTTTAAGTAATTCTCTGATTCAACTACCACATTACTGTGAAATAATAACTGTGGGCGTTATTTTGAGATTTGGTCTGAATTCTTAATTTAGGCTAGAATTCATAATTTCATCCCTGTGTATTATTTTGTGGTAATACAGTATGATGAAATGTGATGAATTTATAATTCGACTACTTGGCAGATTATATATAATAAATAGTTTTCACAATAAAATAAAGATACTAACAAAAATAACAACATATTTTTAGAAGGCTGTAATTTTTCTTGACAGTAGTATATATTTTTTTCTCATTTCTAGTCCTTTTTAGTGGAGAGATATGGCATTTATGATGAGCACATCTTGCAATGAACAAAGTAAAGATATATATTATTACAGACAGATAATTAGATAAAAAAAAAAAACTAATTACGTAATAATCACTGATCAGCTCAATTTAAGCCTTATATTTAAATCTTAATCAAATTAGATCACTTTAAAAATAAAGAAAGCGAATAATGAAACATCAGCTTTATTTTACAAATTTATTCTACTACCAATAGTAATTTCTTGGCTATTACATAGCTATCATCAATTTTTTCAAAGATTTGAAGGAAAAAAGTGAAGAAAAAGAACTAATAAAGTATTCGAAATCATGTAAAAGAAAAAAAAAACATTAAATATTCAAAAATACTTATTAAACTTATATTAGATTTATTAGATTTGATATACGTTACATTTTAATCAAAAATAACATCTAACAGATATAATTGCATTCTATTATAGCAACAAATGAGTTTCCACCAAATTACTTGCCTCAACGACTTCTGATAAAATGAGCACCAATTCCTAATAATAACGATAACAAGCTTGGTACATTTTGTTAGAATTATTCATGTCTGCTGATTGTTGATAATGAATAAATATTTTATTTTCATTCATTTCAACACCAATTCCATATTTGTAATGGTAACCAAGCCAGTAAATTTCATCTGAGTCGTTCGTATCTGTTAAAATTCAATTGATTAATATTCTTCTGTTGTCTTCATTTCCCATTTTGATTTATGAAAAAAAAAACTAACAAAAAAAAATAAAAAAAAATCATACCGATACTAAAAAATTATTATACTTACAATGATTATACTACAAAGCTTAAATTATATCAGTGTATACAGTATTAGCGCAGCGTTTAGCCTATAAGCATAGATATTATCGGAAGTCTACCCTATAAAAATTTTATTCGAATCGAAATATTTCTATTATATCTCCTTATTTTTCTGTAAACATTCCGTGAATCTGTAACATGACTATTAATTTCCATCATTTAAAGGTTTAAATCCCATAAATATGCAACATTTATGGGTAAACATGATCCGAAGAAGTCATTATTCTTGCTGAGTGTAACTGCTAACGCTTTTCCTCATTCTGATACAACATTGTGATCACATCTTTTTGCAAAGTGCAATAATTGATAAGTTGCAACTAGTCAATTAATTGAATCTTAACAATTTCAAAAATAAATAGATCAGATTCCAGAACTGATCTGAAATGATTGGCGGAATTTTGTAACTGTTATTCTGCAATCACATGAATATGTTTTGATGATTTGATCCACTGGCGGGAGCTCTTAAAAATTTTACGTTTCCAACGACTATTTATTGCGAAATTCGGTTTTCTTATCTCATGATAGTCCGAATAAAGTAGTAATGCCGTCCGACAAGAGGTAGGAGTTTATGAGCTTGATAACTTGCAAAATTATCCATTAAAAGCTGTCTAGTTATGTTGTTTAACTCTTCTTTATTTAGGTACCCTACCGATGCCTCAAAACTACGGACCCCTCCAAGATTGCAAGTTGATGAGTTTAATGAGAAATATTTATCGTCAGTTGAATATCCAAATCATGTTAAACACAAAGACGTTTTACCTGAAATTGTGCGTGACACGCCGAGAAATCCTTTAATCGGGTCTAATATTAATAAAAATAGCCCAATTGTAACGGAAAATGATTTGGCTCTAGTTTTGTAAGCATTTTTTTTTTTTTTTTCTTTGCCTCATTTTAAACTAATTAATATTAATTTACTAAAGTCGAGGGAGAAGATATGCTATTCCACCACAATTTTATGAATACGACGATGACGATGAAGAATTCAAAATGTGAGTTAGGTAATTACCTATAAATACTTTATATCAAATTTATTCTCAATTTCTATATTTTAATATATAATTATATAGCAGGGACATAAAACCACGGAATTTATTACCTCTTTTTTTGGCTGAAGCTGCAAGTTCATCACAATCTGCAGAATCTAATATAACAAAAAAGTTTTTGTAATTTGCAATTTTAAAGTTATTGTAATTGTTCTAATACATTAAATTAGTCTTGTTAGATTAGCTTCGCATAAAAATTTTTTTACAATGAACACTTAATATGTATATAATTGTCATGATAAACGGGTTTAGTTAAGCTAGAACCTCACATTATTATATGGATAAGTATTACTTTTAAAGTCTCGTTTCACTGATCTTTTGAATGTGTCAAATTACTAATTGATTAATTTAAACTTTTTTTTTCTTGCTTAGAGGAGTCGAGTTCAATTGTTGTTATTAGCATGATACAGTTCAAGTATAAGAGGGCTTTACTTTATGCCCAGATTCTTTCTTGTCATATAGCTGACATTCCACATACAATCCAACCTGGTTTTGGTACAATTTCGAGTTTTTCATATCTACACAGCATTAGTTAAGATTTT